ACGGTATTTACCACCAATCGGAACGGCTGGTTTCGCACGCCAGCGCGTCAAGTTTTTAAGGCGTGAGCCCTCACCGCCTGCTAGTACCAGTACCAACGTTTTACGGGTTAACTTCGTTATCATGCTAGGTTCAACATAATATTTATATTTCTCAGACTGCCCCCTTGCATCTAAAGTCATGTTTTGTTCTCCTAACGTTTACTTGGTATAAAGATGCCCTATGCGTAGATTTTTTTGGGCAATTTCTATGCCATAAGGCACTGCCCTGTACTACTTTAAAAATAAGTTGTACAGCTAGAGAAAGCTCTAAATAAGCTCGGCCTTTCACTTATATTTTCACCATGAATAACATCACGATAATAATTTATCAGTGTGTTGGTTGAACCATCATGAGACGTAACGGGATTCGGCTGATTAATATCCTGCAAAATATTATTTGTCAGCTGTTTGCCTAACTCCACTCCCCATTGATCAAATGAATTGAGATTCCAGACAATACCTTGCACAAAAATTTTGTGTTCATACAGTGCGATCAGCATGCCTAAAGTTCTAGGTGTTAACTGGCGTATTAACAATGTATTAGTTGGATGATTCCCCTCAAACACCATATGATGAATCCTGTCTTCCAAGCCCTTAGTCGAACGTTTCCCCGCCACAATATCCGCATAGGTTTCATCCAGATTACGCCCCCGCATGAGCGCTTCAGTCTGAGCTAAGGCATTGGCAAACATAATATTATGCTGCTCTTGATGTACGCTATGGGTCAGCATGGAAACAATAAAATCTGACGGCACCATTTTGGTTCCCTGATGGATCGACTGATAAAACGCGTGTTGACCATTAATGCCCGTCATTCCCCAAATAATCGGCCCGGTCGCATAATCCACACGCCGCCCATCGCGATCCACCGATTTGCCATTGCTTTCCATATCCGCCTGCTCCAGATACATCGGCAGACTACGAAGGTAATGATCGTAGGGAAAAATTCCGTGAGACTCAGCATTGAAAAAGTTGTTATACCAAACTCCTAACATCCCCAGTAGAACGGGCATATTTTTTCTAGCGGTGCTTCGCGAAAATGCTGATCCATCGAATGTGCCCCAGCGAGCATTTTCTTGAAATTTTTCATACCAACCGCCAGCACCACCGACAAGCCAATCGCTGACCAGAGTGAGTAGCGCCCACCAACCCAATCCCAAAACTCAAACATATTTTCAAGGTCGATACCAAATTTTTTAACCGCATCACTATTGGCAGACACCGCGACAAAATGTTTACAGATATGCGCCTCATCCTTGGCTGTGCCTAAGAACCAGTCACGCGCAACATGTGCATTACTCAGGGTTTCCTGTGTAGTGAAGGTTTTGGAGGAGATAATGAATAACGCCGTTTCTGGATCGAGTTTTTCTAGAGTTGCATCTGTATGTGCACCATCAACATTAGAAACAAAGTGCACCTTTAAGCGCTTATGCCAATACGGTTTGAGTGACTGATACACCATCTTCGGCCCCAAGTCTGAGCCGCCAATACCGACATTGACAATATCCGTAATCACTTTACCGGTATAACCTGTCCATTTTTCATGACGCACCTTATCGGCAAACACCTCCATTTTATCAATGGTGGCATTAATCTGCGGCATGACATCCACACCATCGACCTTAATCGGGGTATTCGTGATATTGCGTAACGCGGTATGCAGTACCGCTCGATCTTCAGTATTATTGATTTTTTCGCCGGTAAACATTCGCTCACGCCAGCGTTCTAAATCACATTCCTTAGCGAGTTGGCATAGCAAGGGAATGGTGTCATGAGAAATACGATTTTTAGAATAATCTAACAATAAACCTTCATGCTCTATCGACAGTTTCGTCACCCTTTTAGTGTCGATACTGAACAAGCGACGCATATGGAGCCGTTTGATTTTTTGGTGGTGCTCCTCAAGCAGTTTATAGGCAGGAAGTTCGGTCAATGACAGTTTTTGAAATTTTTTCATTGTCACACGGATATCTCAGTTTAGAGGGTAATGAAGGTATA